CCTCCCACTTCCGTCGACCCCTCGATCTCGACGCCGCGCTGCACGGTGCCCGCGGCGGGGCCATCATCAACCATAGAAATCTTAACCACTTGCACAGGGACTCCGTTGTCCTTCATCACATACACTGCGCCTCCTAGCCCCGTCGACCCCACTTTGTCCGCCCCGAAGATCCTGGCGACATGCTGTCGCATATTCCCGAGATAGTAGAACAACTTCCTGGACGTGGGGGGAAGATCACGTCGGACCCGCAGCTGTAAGTCGGGGCCGCCCTCAGGGTTCGGGAAGGGGAACGTGCCCACGGACGACGCCATTCCATGGAACGTGGAGGCCTCTGGGTTGGACTCAAAGTCCGGGAACACCTTCTTACTGCAATCGAAGGCCTTGACATGGATCGTACCCTGAGTCGAGGACGGAGCACAGCGGGAGAGGATACTCTGGACAGCTTCTCGGAGCGTTTTCTCCATCAGCGGCCGTGGAAATCCAAGAACCACAAGACGCGAGGGGTTCCCCACAAGCCCAGAGTCAACCCTCCGACGGACTTGCCTATCATCTTCCCCGCGAGGTGTAGGGGTCCCTAGCTCGACGACTTTCTGAATGTCCTGGATCTCGTCACGCATCGTCTGGATCATTCCTTTGAGCTCATCGCGGAGAGCGGATTCTGCGGTCTCACGGTCCTGTATGCACTGCAGGAGGGCCTGTTCGTGGATCACACGCATCTGCTCGAAATTAGCTGCCGTCTGTTTTGCCAGTTCCGTGTGCGCCTGCTGAAGTGTCTGGAAATTCTTCTCAACTGCAATCATCTGACCCTGGATTCCCGAGATCTGTTGGTTTATCTCCTGAACGCCGAGATTCAACTGACTGGACAGGCTGGCGACCGACGACGACAGAGGAGCAATCATATCACGCATGGCAACGAGGATCTTCTCCGTGTCCCTCACTCCCTCCATGGACGTACCTCCAGGGGATGCAGGCGGAGTGGAGGCTGGCGGAGTGGAAACGAGCGATTCAGGCCAGCGATCTTCAGACGGCATGGCCAGGGAGGGGAGGAAGGCGCGGCCGCGGCGGGCCGAGGGAGAGCGGCCCCGCGGGGCCAGGGGAGCGCGACCGCTCCCGGCCTTGGTGCCTGGCCACCAGGCGCCTTGAGCAAAAAAAATGGATACGGGAGGAGGAGGAGGAAGGAGGAGGAGGAGAGGAGGAGGAGGAGGAGGAGGGTGGAGGGGGAGGAGGAAGGGGAAGGAGGAGAGAGGAGGAGGAGAGGAGGAGGAGGACGAGGAGGAGAGGGGAGGAGGAGGAGAAGGAGGAGGAGGAGGAGGAGGAGGAGGCGGAGGAGGAGCGGGAGGAGGAGGTGGGGGCGAGGCAGCCGGGCGGCCTCCGCCCCGCCGTCGTGGGTCCTCCTGGGGGCGCGCAGCAGCTCGGCTTTTGGCGGCGCGCGCGCGGGGCGCAGGGGGCACCCCTTCTCGGCTGCGGGGCGGGGGGGCTCCGCAGGGCCTGGGGGCGGCCAAGGTTAGGTCGGGCACGTCCTCCTCCTCCTCCTCCTCCTCCTCCTCCTCCTCCTCCTCCTCCTCCTCCTCTCCTCCTCCTCCTCCTCCATCTCCTCTCCTCCTCCTCCTCCTCCTCCTCCTCTCCTCCTCCTCTCCTCCTCTCCTCCTCCTCCTCCTCCTCCTCCTCCTCCTCACTCCTCCTCCTCCGCCTCTCCTCCTCCTCCTCCTCCTCCTCCTCCTCTCCTCCTCCTCCTCCTCCTCCTCCTCCTCCTCCTCCTCCTCCTCCTCCTCCTCCTTCCTCCTCCTCCTCCTCCTCCTCCTCCTCCTCCTCCTCCTCCTCCTCCCCCCCCCCTACGGGCACGTCCTCCTGAGGGCGGAGTGTGGACGAAACAAAAAACTAAATATGTAGACAAAAGAATAATCGATCTGTCGTTCCCAGACTACTGTGTTGTCTGTCTTTGAATATGCCTCCTGTAGAGGCACCCCTTCGGCTGCGGGCAGGGGGGCTCCGCAAGGCCTGGGGGCGGCCAAGATTAGGTCGGGCACGTCCTCCTACGGGCGGATTAAATCAATCAATCAATCAATGACGCCGTGTCTGCACGACACATCGGCTAAAGCAGTGCCGCTGGTCGGAGGCGTGTGTCCGCCACGGTACGAGGCAAGGGCAGTTCGCAAGCTGATGGCCCAGCGTTTGGCTGGTGGAAGAAACTGGCTGCCATGGCTTATGCTGGGAGGGGGAGAGGAGGAAGAGGAGGAGGAGGAGGAGAAGAAGGGGGAGGATGGACCAACTCCCTTCCCTCAGGGTATCTCAGAGCCTGCTGGTCTTGATACATTGTATGGTACGGGCGGATTGTGGACGACAAAAAAAAACTAAAACATTCAACAATAAGATATACAACAAAAGAATAATCGAACCATCGTTCCCAGACTATTCGGTTGACTGTCTTTGAAGATTCCTCCTGTAGAGGGACATGCCCGACTTGAGAATAAGAGAGCCCAAAGCGCAGATTGGCCGAGAGCTCGAGAATCGGCTACAGATTTCGGGGCATGGTGTGCGCTCCTCGATGCCGAGATCCCCCTCCCCGGGATCTCAGGGAGGCTGCAGTTTGTGTCCGCGCTCGCGCTCTCGGCGCTGGTCTTAGGTCGGGCGTGTCCCCCTACTGGGAGATTTCGACGAAAAATAAAAAATACTCCGAAAATATCCCAAAATGGTCAAAAAATACTCCAAAAACAGTCCCCCGACTATGTTTTGACTACTTCTGAATATTCCCCCTGTAGAGGGACAGGCCCGACTTCATGCTGGGCGTCTGTCTTGCGTCCATGCTGGGGGGGGCGCCACTCCGCGTGGCGCGCGCTGTGCCAGCGCGCTGCTGCTGCTGCTGCCGCTGCTGCGGCCGCCTCCCGCCCGAGGCCACGGCCTCGGGCAGGAGGCGGCGCCCGCGGGGGCAGAGCGAGGGGGGAGAACCGGCGGCGAGCGAGGGGGGAAGTGAGGAGGAGGAGGCCTTCTGAGAAGGCCCTCCTCCTCCTCCTCCTCCTCCTCCTCCTCCTCCTCCTCCTCCTCATCCTCCTCCCCCTCCCCCTTCCCCCTCCTCCTCCTTCTCCTCCTCCTCGAGTCGGGCAAAATTCGAGTCGGTCCCCCGCAAGCCAGGTCGGCAAGACGAGCCGGATCGGTAGGGCTGCAGAGTCGATCTGATCGGAGTCGGACTGGAGGTGGACGACGCCCCGTCGCCTCCTGCAGGGGATCAAGACAAGCAGAAAGGTACTGCGCCGATCCGAAAATGTCCCTCCTCTCTTGCGCCGAAGCTGCGTCGAACGCCCGTCGATTTGGGTCGACCCCGAGGCGAACCTGAGTCAAACCTGAGTCGAACCTGAGTCGAACCTGAGTCGAACTGGGGTCGAACTGGAGTCGAACAGGTGTGTCAGGTGGGCCCCAGGAAAGCCCCCAGAACGAGCATCTGCAGGGGATCAAAGCAAGCATCAGCATACCGTGCCGATCTCAAAATTTCCATAAGTTTGCCGTGGGGCATCGCGTCGCCGTCTGGGCCGGCGCGAGGCCGAAGATGGCCACCGGGGGGCACATCGGGGGCGCGAGGGCGGAGGGGCGCCGGAGGCGGGGGCAGGGTCGGCGCCGCGCCCCGTGTGGCAGCGGCCCGGCACGATGTGAGCCCACTCCTCCTCCTCCTCCTCCTCCTCCTCCTCCTCCTCCTCCTCCTCCTCCTCCTCCTCCTCCTCCTCCTCCTCCTCCTCCTCCTCCTCCTCCTCCTCCTCCTCCTCCTCCTCCTCCTCCTCCTCCTCCTCCTCACTCCTCCTCCTCTCCTCCTCCTCCCTCCTCCTCCTCCTCCTCCTGCATCTCCTCCTCCTCCTCCTGCATCTCCTCCTCCTCCTCCTGCATCTCCTCCTCCTCCTCATCTTCCTCCTCCTCTTCTTCTTATTCATAGCATTATCCGTATTGTTATTATTCTTATTATTGTGATTATTCTTACTAATGCTAGTATTAGTATTCGTATTATGTTATAATTAATATGTTTAATAATAATCATATGTTTAATAATAATCTTAAGAATACGATGATTAGTAGTATTATTAATAGTAATATAAGATTATCATTACTACTATTGTTATTACTAATATTATTATTAAATAATAGCAGTATTACTATTATCACTGTTCGCTTCAATCGTTTTATTATTATTGTGTTCCTTCTTCTTCTTCTGAATAGTATCATCCTTACTATTAAGTGTGCTTATTATTAGTAGTATCATTACTATTATTATTATTACTAATATTTTCTTCGTATTCTCACTATCTTACTCTTATTATTCCACTGACTAAAGTATTATCGTACTGTTCTTCTTACTTATTTGTTCATTATAATTATTATGATCATTACTAATACTAGTATTACTATTTTTACTTGTATGAGTATTATTATTATTCCTCCTCCTCTTCCTCCTCCTCCTCATCATCATCCTCCTCCTCCTCCTCCTCCTCCTCCTCCTCCTCCTCCCCCTCCTCCTCCTCCCCCACTTCTCCTCCTCCTCCTCCTCCTCCTCCTCCTCCTCCTCCTCCTCCTCCTCCTCCTCCTCCTCCTCCTCCTCCTCCTCCTCCTCCTCCTCCTCCTCCTCCTCCTCCTCCTCCTCCTCCTCCTCCTCCTCCTCCTCCTCCTCTTAGCAGCCCTCCACCGACGTGCGGGCGCCCCCGTCCGCCTGGGCTGAAGCTGGGCTTCGGCTTTTGTATTCAAACTTGTCGGTGGCAACTCAGGGGAGCCTCCCATACCATCTTGTCGGCCCCTGCAACGCTGGTCGACGCTAAATCGATGCTGATGGACGCTGCACGAAACTAAATCGACGCTGACCGACGCTAACTGGCGCCAAATCGGCGCTATACCGTCGACTCCCAGACGCGAATCAACCCTAACCGACGCTAAAGACGGAATTCGGAGGTATACCAGAGTCCCATGATTTGCTACCGAAACGCCTGGGCTGGAATCGGGCTTCGATTCCCAAATCAAACTTCAGTTCCCCAACGGTGTATGGATCCGAGAATGAGCAAACCAAACCGCATAGGGTCTCCTCAGAAAAACATCGATCGGGCTTGCTCCCAAGACAATCCGAAAGCTTCAACCAGCCAACCCGACAGTGGCCAATTTGCGCGAGACATGTGCAATAAAATGTTGTCGGGTCCTGCCCGACGGACCCGAAAATTGGCCTCGAACTGGGGACCCTCTGCAAAAAGCACTTTTTCGGCGGATCCCGTTGGCTGCCCCTGGTGGTCCGCCACGCGCGCCAGATCTGTCAGCGCTCGCGCCCGGGCGCGGCGCCTGCCCAGGTCCGCGAGGCTCGCGTGCGCCATCCTCACTGCAGCGACATGGCAGCCATGCGGCTGCGCTGCCTCCGCGAGGAGCCGTGCTTCGCGAAGCGGAAGGACCTCTCGGAGCGCCACTGTAGAAGCTCGGCGCTCAGCGCGGACTCCTCAGATCGGCGCTGGAGCCCCTTGGCGGCGCCTCCGACGTCGCCCCCGGGCCCAGCGCGGATCCGAGAGAGATCCGCGCGGACCGCCGAGTTTTCGTGTTCATGTCATCGTTTGCTCCCTGGTCCTGCACGTCCTCCCGACACTGACGCTGATGACTAACGCTGTCGACCCCCTCCATCGGCCACACTCGGGGGCGCGCAAACATGGATCAGCGATCCATGGATTTGGCGCGCGGTCGCCAAATCCATGGATCCGGGGAAGTGCCCTCCCCAAGGTGCGGGCGGTGCCGCCTCGCTCGGCGGCGGAACTCCGCGGCTTCCCATGGAAACGGGACCCGTCGCGAATCCACGCCCCCTTTAATCCATGTGTGCGATCGCCTGATCCATCGACCACACGCAAGAGTTTGGACGCCCGACATGGGTACTGAAAACATGGGTACGATGCCCAACAACAGATGTTGTCCCAAACCAGCAGCGGCCGCTGTTGGGCAGGCGGCCTTCTGTCTCAAATGTACGCAGGCCGCGGCGACACCGACAGCGAGTCCTGTTCAAAATGAACAGGAACTGTTGTTGGGCATTGTACCCCTTCTTTCCGTACCAATTTCGGTCGT